AATTATTTCTAACTATTTTAGTAAATAGGTCAGTGGGATGGGAAGGAAGTAATTCACACATCCCTGTGAAGTACAGGGTAGACTGCCTGGGTGTCAGGCATTGATGCCTTACAACAAAAGAGCCACCAGTGTCCAGCAGTGAAATACTAAAAATATACAGAGGAAGACAGAAGAGTAGGATTAGCACCTACTTTTATGGGGGCAATTACCCACATCTACCATTTGGTTATTTGTTTGAAATAGTTCTAAATATTTCGAATTGTGAAGAAACACATGGGTAGTTCAAATTTATTCTAAAGAAAGAGATCTTTGTACAGTCACATTCAAAATGTTTCAGAAATATATAAATGAATTCAAATATATTCAAATTTTCATTTTCAAATTTTTGAAAAATTTAGAACTTTTGTTACTGGGGTATTCTTTTCTTCTAAATAATTCAAACGTATTAGAAACATGGAGAAAAAACCCACTCGGTGACGCGGAATGGACTCTATTCTGCTGCACAGAAAGTTCATTTAGAAGATCACATGGCTAAACACACTGGAGACAAACCCTACATGTGTGGGGAGTGTGGATACAGGACAGCTCACAATTCTTATCTTACTGTACATATGAGAAAACATACAGGAGAGAAACCCTACAAATGTGACCAGTGTGACTATTCTGCTGCAACGAAAAGCAATTTAGACCGACACATGGCTAAACACACTGGAGACAAACCCTACATGTGTGGGGAGTGCGGATACAGGACAGGTGACAGGTCTCGCCTAGTCTTACACATGAGGACACATACAGGGGAGAAACCCTACAAATGTGACCAGTGTGACTATTCTGCTGCAACGAAAAGCGACTTAAAAGGGCACATACTTAAACATACCGGAGACAAACCCTACATGTGCGGGGAGTGCGGCTTTAGGACGGCTGGCAGGACTAGCCTAACGAAACATATGAGAAAACATACTGGGGGAAAACCCTACAAGTGTGACCAATGTGACTATTCTGCTGCGCGGAAAGGCCATTTAGACCGGCACATGGCTAAACACACTGGACACAAGCCCTACAAATGTGATCAATGTGGCTATTCTGCTGCTCAGAAAAGTGACTTGGAGAAACACATGTCTAAACACACCGGAGAAAAACCCTTCATGTGTGAGAAGTGTGGATTGAGGACGGCTGACAGGTCTCACCTATCCAAGCATATGAAAAAACATACAGGACATTGATTATACAGATGTGAGCAGTTGGACTATTCTGCTGCACATAAAAGACATTTTGACCAACACATGGCTACTCATACTGACAATAAACCCTTACAAGTGTGGCCAGTGTGACTTTTACTGCTGTACTTTATACAACCACATGGCTTAACAAGCTGCTGAGAAGCCGAGTATGTAAGGGTAGTGCGGATAGCAAAATTATCTACTGTGTCCCGCATATGAAAAACCATGCAGGAAAGAAATCACACAACTAGTTTGGCACTGACTTTTAGTCGACGATACAGGTAAAACAAGTGTTACAAGGAAACAGATTTGATGATTCTCCAGCATTTAAAATTAGTTTAGATCTTCAGATGGTTAAACATTCAAACATGATAAACCCGTGAATTGTGGAAACAGTACTGATGACAGCTTTTCCTGTCTTACCATAAAAAGAAGCGTACGTTTGAAAACCCCTTCAAATGTTTCTTGTGTGTCAAAGTGACTGATATGTTTGTTAAGGTTAAAGTTTTTTTATGTCACTGTAGATATATGATACTTGATGTGTTGATAATGTTGTACATTGCTCGTATTACTCGCATTTTGTTGTACATTACTCGTATTTTGTTGTACATTTTTAGTATTCTATGGACAGGTTACCGGAATACTTATGTTACATTTCGTACGCGATGAAGAAATATCGATACCGTACGTGTGTAGCACTAATAATAAATAATACTAGTAATACTTGACTTAGTCCTCTTCGCCCACTCGGGAGCATAGAGCCTCTGTGAGAAGTCTCCAGCGTTTAGGGTTCATCGCTATCTTCTTGGTCTCCGGCCAGGCTACGTTGGCTTTCTCAAGGTCTTTCCTCACGCCTCTTCTCCAGGAGAGGCGGGGTCTGCCTCTGTGACGTTTCCCCTGGGGATTCCAGTCTAGGGCTGTTCTTGTTATGGACGTTGGTGGTTTTCGCTGTGTGTGCCCAATCCAACGCCACTTCCTTCTTCTAATGGTGGTTTCAATAGGTTCCTGGCCTGGTATTTCCAGCAGTTCTTTATTCTTGATCTTTCTAGGCCACCAGATCCCAAGGAGGCACCGGAGTCTTGCATTAACGAACACTTGTAGTTTGTTCATGTTACGAGTACTTCGTCAGTCCCCATGTGTCGCATCCATACAACAGGACAGATTTTACATTGGTCTCAAACAGCCTGAGCTTGGTTTTCAGAGAAAAGCTTTTGGATCTCCAGACTGGCTTTAGTTGGGCAAATGCAGTTCTGGCCTTTACAATACGGGTATCCACATCTTTACTGGATCCTCCATCCTTCTTTCCGCTGGTTGCTCCGGCAGTTGGAGACTTTCTCTTTGAGGTTTTCGTAATCGGTTGTATCCACCTATGGGTGATTGGCCCAAGGGCTTCGCGTGCACCAATTGGCCTCAGGGATTGTGGATGTACTCCACGTTGCCCTGAGTTCACCCCTGCACCACGATGAGGCACACTGACCCGGGGGACAGTGTGGGGACTGCGGCGATGCTGCTAGCTCCCTAGGTGCTCCGACTTCGCAGGGGAAATAATACTAATACTCGACAAAAAACAACACTCCTTCCCACTGTGAAGTAGTTCTTTAGACTTAGGTTTAGATACATTACATATTTTATTATAGTGCGAAAGGAAATAAAGGTACTGAAACCGTTTCAAACTGTTTGTACATATTTATTTGTAGTCAATTCGCTCACGTTGTGAAATAAGCTGATATATACACATATCTCTTATCTACTCATCAGTACAATTGTAACATCCACTTTGCAAACATCTTCTTATAGTCGTCTTTTTCTTCGAATATCTACTACTACAATTGTAGCAAATGCAGCAGAAACAGTTGTTCAAACTTATAGAGCAGAGAAAAGAACAATATATCATGCAGGACGTCCGTGACGACAAAATCCTGTAACTGGGTAATCAGGGTTGTCAACTTTGACCTTTGCCCCACAATTGGTTTGACCTGTGATTACGCTTGTCTGCCATTTTGAGCCGTGCGTTCTCTCCAATCTGAGGCGATTTCCAACTTACTTCGACTCTAAACCTACTCTGGGCAGTTTTAAAAGACAGGTAAGACCTTTGTATACCTCCTACACTCAGTGTGTCGCGGTACCGCAGCATATATAGTTCAAATCGTGATGCGTGAATTATCTAAGGAAGATATGGGGAGGGGGGCAGATCGACCACGGTGGATCGACACAGATAGGACATCTGATACTCCCATTTCTCAAGTGAATGATTACAGGTCTTTCCAAACATACTGGCCATGGGGGATCGCAGGAATACGAGTACAATATAATGTCGACATAAACAGTATGGAAATGTTTATTATGCTAATGTTAATTCCTGATGTTAATGTTAATTCCTGATGCTTCATTTTTGGGCTTACAAAGAAACGGATAGTATACAAACGTTGTCGACGCTTCAATTTCGGAAAGTTTATCTTTGCTTTCAGAAAATTATGGACCGGAGAAGCTGTCAGATTCCTCCGGACGAGATGGCAACTGTGCACCCTGGGAACGAGGCAAGCAGCAGCGAGGACCCGGCAACAGACACGGGAGGACAGCAGGACAAGGAAGAGGACATTCTATCGGAGGAAACGTACGGGGTAAACTCTGTCCATCCTCCCGTACAGAGTCAAACAGAGCAGACGGACGGGCCTGTGGTGAAAGGTACTGTGGACAAACGCTACAAATGTGACCAATGTGACTATTCTGCATCACGGAAAGGCCATTTAGAGCGGCACATGGCTAAACACACTGGATACAAACCCTACATGTGTGGGGAGTGTGGATACAGGACAGCTAACCAGTCTTACCTAGCTGTACATATGAGAAAACATACAGGAGAANGTTCATGCTGTACGAGTACTTCGTCCAGTCCCCATGTGTCGCATCCATACAACAGGACAGATTTTACATTGGTCTCAAACAGCCTGAGCTTGGTTTTCAGAGAAAAGCTTTTTGGATCTCCACACTGGCTTTAGTTGGGCAAATGCAGTTCTGGCCTTTCCAATACGGGTATCCACATCTTTACTGGATCCTCCATCCTTCTTTCCGCTGGTTGCTCCGGCAGTTGGAGACTTTCTCTTTGAGGTTTTCGTAATCAGTTGAATCCACCTATGGGTGATTGGCCCAAGGGCTTCGCGTGCACCAATTGGCCTCAGGGATTGTGGATGTACTCCACGTTGCCCTGAGTTCACCCCTGCACCACAATGACGCACACTGACCCGGGGGACAGTGTGGGGACTGCGGCGATGCTGCTAGCTCCCTAGGTGCTCCGACTTCGCAGGGGAAATAATACTAATACTCGAAAAAAAAACACTCCTTCCCACGGTGAAGTAGTTCTTTAGACTTAGGTTTAGATGCATTACATATTTTATTATAGTGCGAAAGGAAATAAAAGTACTGAAACCGTTTCAAACTGTTTGTACATATTTATTTGTAGTCAATTCGCTCACGTTGTGAAATAAGCTGATATATACACATATCTCGTATCTACTCATCAGTACAATTGTAACATCCACTTTGCAAACATCTTCTTACAGTCGTCTTTTTCTTCGAACATCTACTACTACAATTGTAGCAAATGCAGCAGAAACAGTTGTTCAAACTTATAGAGCAGAGAAAAGAGCAATATATCATGCAGGACGTCCGTGACGACAAAATCCTGTAACTGGGTAATCAGGGTTGTCAACTTTGACCTTTGCCCCACAATTGGTTTGACCTGTGATTACGCTTGTCTGCCATTTTGAGCCGTGCGTTCTCTCCAATCTGAGGCGATTTCCAACTTACTTCGACTCTAAACCTACTCTGGGCAGTTTTAAAAGACAGGTAAGACCTTTGTATACCTCCTACACTCAGTATGTCGCGGTACCGCAGCATATAGTTCAAATCGTAATGCGTGAATTATCTAAAGAAGATATGGGGAGGGGGGCGAGATCGACCACGGTGGATCGACACAGATAGGACATCTGATACTCCCATTTCTCAAGTGAATGATTACAGGTCTTTCCAAACATACTGGCCAGTGGGGGATCGCAGGAATACGAGTACAATATAATGTCGACATAAACAGTATGGAAATGTTTATTATGCTAATGTTAATTCCTGATGTTAATGTTAATTCCTGATGCTTCATTTTTGGGCTTACAAAGAAACGGATAGTATACAAACGTTGTCGACGCTTCAATTTCGGAAAGTTTATCTTTGCTTTCAGAAAATTATGGACCGGAGAAGCTGTCAGATTCCTCCGGACGAGATGGCAACTGTGCACCCTGGGAACGAGGCAAGCAGCAGCGAGGACCCGGCAACAGACACGGGAGGACAGCAGGACAAGGAAGAGGACATTCTATCGGAGGAAACGTACGGGGTAAACTCTGTCCATCCTCCCGTACAGAGTCAAACAGAGCAGACGGACGGGCCTGTGGTGAAAGGTACTGTGGACAAACGCTACAAATGTGACCAATGTGACTATTCTGCATCACGGAAAGGCCATTTAGAGCGGCACATGGCTAAACACACTGGATACAAACCCTACATGTGTGGGGAGTGTGGATACAGGACAGCTAACCAGTCTTACCTAGCTGTACATATGAGAAAACATACAGGAGAAAGGCCATACAGTTGTGACAAGTGTGACTATTCAGCTGCACGGAAACGTGATTTAGACTTACATATGTCTAAACACACAGGAGACAAACCCTACATGTGTGGAGAGTGCGGCTTTAGGACGGCTGTCAGGTCTCACGTATCCAGGCATATGAGAATACATACAGGTGAGAAACCCCACAAATGTGACCAGTGCGACTATTCTGCTGCACAGAAAGGCCATTTAGACACACACATGGCTAAACACACCGACGACAAACCCCACATGTGTGGGGAGTGTGGATATAGGACGGCTGACAGGTCTCAGCTACCCAGGCATATGAGAATACACACAGGTGAGAAACCTTATAAGTGTAACCGGTGTGACTATTCTGCTGCACAGAAAGGCCATTTAGACACACACATGGCTAAACACACCGGAGACAAACCCTACATGTGTGGGGAGTGTGAATACAGAACGGCTGACAGGTCCCACCTATCCAGGCATATGAAAAAACATACAGGAGAAAGGCCCTACAAATTACAATTGTGATTTTGACTATTCTGCTGTACACAAAAGTCATTTGGACCGACACATGGCTAAGTTCAGTTCAGTTCAGGTCATCCTCTTTTTAGGTGCCATTCACAATGTCTCTCCACGTGACTCTGTCGCGCATGGCGGACAGAAGTTCATCATCCCGTAGTCCGACCTCCTCCTCGATCAGTTTCTTTAGCGTTAGGCACGGTCGTCCCCTTCTTCTTTTTACATCTGGGTACCAGAGAGGCACTTTTGCGGCCATCTCTTCGTGGCCGGCGTACCACATGCCCGGCAAGGGCCAGTCGTCTGTTCTGAATGGTCTTGGTAATCAAGGGTAGACCGTTGTAGAGTTTTTTTGTTACTCATGCGGCTCTGCCATGGAACATTCAGCACGCACCGAAGCAGGCGCGTGTAGTTACCATTCAGTTTCTTGGACAAGGCTTTAGTTAATGTCCATAAATCGGAACTATACAACAAAATAGGCTCTACACACGATTTAAAGACTTTTAACTTTGTGGTATTCTGGGTGGGGGCCTTCCACACCCTTGTGTAGGGCGTGGCATGGCTAAAGACACTGGTTAAGACCTCTATGTGTTGGAAGAGCGGATATCGAGCATGTCACAAGCGTCATTTTGTCGTCATTTTGCGTACAAAAGAGCCGACATGCTGTTAAAAACCCAACAGCTGCGAGTCTACGACCACTGTGGAGGTAGATACGTTATTGATCGGGTTAGTAGGTAAGGTACGCTGCATAAACTCCATCCATGTCTTAATTAATTAAAATTCTTTGAGTTTTTTTTCCCCTTTGAAACTTTATTAGAATAACCATTAGCGGTGGACCCAAGTTTTATCTAAATGGTTTCAAAAAATTATGGACCGGAGAAGCAGTAAGATTCCTGTGGACGAGCTGCCAACTGTGCACCCTGGGAACGAGACAAGCAGCAGCGAGGACCCGGCAACAGACACGTGAGGACAGCAGGACGAGAAAGAGGAGATTCTATCGGAGGACACGTACGGGGTAAACTCTGTCCATCCTCCCGTACAGAGTCAAACAGAGCAGACGGACGGGCCTGTGGTGAAAGGTACTGTGGACAAACCGCACAAGTGTGACCAGTGTGACTATTCTGCATCACGGAAAGGCCAGTTAGAAGAACACATGTCTAAACACACTGGAGACAAACCCTACATGTGTGGAGAGTGTGGATACAGGACGGCTGACAGACGTAACCTATCCAGGCACATGAGAAAACATACTGGGGAAAGACTTTACAAATGTGATCAATGTGACTATTCTGCTACACAGAAAGTCAATTTAGACACACACATGGCTAGTAAACACACCGGACACAATCCCTACAAATGTGACCAGTGCGACTATTCAGCTTCAAGTAAAGGCCATTTAAAACAACACATGCTTAGACACACTGGAGAGAAACCCTTCATGTGTGGGGATTGCGGATACAGGACTGC